CCAAGGAGAGGTCCCAGATCAGCGGTTACCTTAGGGCCTTGGTTGGCAAACTGTGGCTTTCAAGCCACATGCGGCTATTTGGCCCTTTGAGTATGGCTCTTCCACAAAATACTACGGTCTGGGCGAGTCTGTTTTGAAGAAGTGGCATTAGAAAAAGGTTAAGTTTAAAAAATTTGGCTCTCAAAAGAAATTTCAATTGTTGTACTGTTGATATTAGGCTCTGTTGACTAATGAGTTTGCCGACCACTGCCCTAGGGGTTTCTCTTTGGAGCTGACCCAACATTTCCTGGGCCCAATGGTAGTCCTGTCTGTCTCTAGGAGCCCAGATTGATATTATTCTTTCTCTCCAGAAGATAGCAGCTATGCCCAAGACCTAGTGCTTGCAGAGAGCTGGGCACTACCTCCCTCCATGCTGGTATGGGTGTGAGGCCAGGTGACTAAAGCTGCCACTACCCCTGGCAGGCCCAGAGAAAAAATTGATGGCACAGACGTTGCTGGGGCTGGCCAACAAAGACATTGATTTTCATTTAGGAGAATTAAACATTAATTTTCACTTTGTTAAACTAGATAGGGTGAATAAAGCCAATTCCTGCAGTACCAAAGGAAGCCAGGCTATGATGGAAGACTGCAAATGAAATGGTCAGAGGGGGGCAGATGTATTCAGTCACCAACCCTTCCAGAATCTTAGACTTCTGTCTGTCACCACATTGGCTCAGGTAACTGTGAATGAATTCTGGAGCCAGATTAGCTGACCTCAATGCCCAGATCTTCCCATTAGTAGCTACAAGACCTTGGGCAAGTCACTTAATTTCTATGTCCAATTTCTTCACCTGTAAAATGGGGATGCCAATAACAAAACCCTCTTCATAGAATAGAATATTAAATGACTTCAAACATGTAAAGTTCTGGAATAAATAAATATTGCCTTCTTCATTTATCTTTTCTCCCCCAGAAATTATCCAAGTAGCCTTATATCAGATGCCCTGAGCCTCATAGAGTCTTCTAGGTATCCCTTATCTTGTGGAGTCCTATGGCTTGTTGAGGAGGGGTTTTATTCTTCCAAAGTTCATCTTAATTCTCTTCAGGGGCTTTCACTTGCTTTCAGGATAAAATCCAAACTCCTCAGCCTAGCATCCAAAGTTTCCTCTTCAACCACTGCCTTCTATGGATCTTCTTTGTGGCCAGGCCCATGCTCCCATAGGTTCTCCTCCATGCTTCAACCTCATTTTATACTCATCCTGTTCCTTTTGTCTCTGCATCTTTACCATGCTGCTTCCTACATTAAATATTACAGTTTGCCTCAGTGATAATTCTAATTTGAGCAGCAGAAGTCATTTAATCCTATGGTTGGATGAATGATTTCTATTACTCCTACAACTAATGCTACCATTTAACTACTCCTACTACCAGCTAACTATAGACTGCTTGCTGTCTACCAAGTACTATGTAGACAGTAAGCAGTCTGTAGTTAAGCACTTTACATTTTTATTATTACACTTTATTACACTTTTATTTAATTATTAGAGGCCCAGTGCACAAAGTTTGTGCACAGGGTGAGGGGAGGTGTCCCTCAGCCCAGCCTGCACCCTCTCCAATCTGGGAACACTCTCACAATCCAGGACTGCTGGCTCCCAACTGCTCACCTCCCTGCCTTTCTCATTGCCCCTAACCACTTCTATGGTCTAGTTACCCCTAACTGCCCTCCCCTACAGGGTTGATCGCCTCCAACTGCCCTCCCTTGCAGACCTGGTCCCTCTCAACTGCCCTCCCCTGCTGGTCATCTTGTGTCCACATAGGGGCAGAATCTTTGACCACATGTGGGCAGCCATCTTGTGTGTTGGAGTGATGGTCAATCTGCATATTACTCTTTTATTAGATAGGATAGAGGCCTGGTGCAGGGTGGGGGTGGGCTGGTTTGTCCTGAAGGGTGTCCTGGATCAGGGTGGGGATTCTCTTGGGGTGTGGGGTGGCCTGGGTGAGGGGCCTATGGTGGTTTTCAGGCCAACCACACACCCCCAGTGACCCAAGCAGAGGTCCTAGTATCTGGAATTTACCTTCTACAATTGAAACTTTGTAGCCTGGATCAGAGCCAAGCCCCCTGGTCACTCTGTGGCTGCCATCATTTGTTTGGTTTTATGTATCTTCTATAATTGAAACTTTGTAGCCTGGAGTGGAGGCCTAGCCCTGCCAGGCAGGTAGAAAGCTTTGCTTCCTCCGTTGCTGGGGGCAACCATAGCCTGCTCTTTCCAGCTCCATGGCTGCCAGCATTTTTCTTAGGATTTATCTTCTATAATTGAAACTTTGTTTCCTTGAGTGGAGGCTTAGGCTGGCTAGGTGTGTGGAAAGCTTGGCTTCCTCTATTGAAACCCAAGCCTCTCAACTGCTCTCTGTGGCTGCAGCCATCTTGGTTGGGGTTAATTTGTGTACTCGCTCTGATTGGCTGGTGGGCATGGCTGGTGGGTGTGGCTGGTGGGCGTGGCTTGAGTGGAGTGATGGTTAATTTGCATATTACTCTTTTACTAGATTGGATTATAACATCCCTATGAGTTCAGTTTTACAGAGAGGAAGGTTAGGCTTAGAGAAATAAAGACTTGCTCCATGTCACAGAGTTAGTGAGGTGGGGCCTGGATTCATACTCAGGTCTGTCTGACTCCAGAGCCTGTATACAGAGGATTGGTGAGGGTGGCATGTTGGCATTACTTGACACTGAATCATTGAGAGTTATAGGAATCTCTTTCATGGCCTGCGTGGAAAGAGTTCCAATTCAGGGTTTGGGTTCTGGAGGAGGGCCACATACAAATGAAGAGACTTGAGACTTGAAGAAATTCAACTTGGTGACATGGGGGGCCAGGCAGTAGTCCAACTCTAGTGGGAGAACTACTCACTGCTCTGGCCCTGCCACCCCTTTTATTGAGGTTTTGGGGAAAACATCTTAGGCAACATAAACAGAAATTTACATGTAGCCCTTAGGCAGGAAATAACAGAAACTTACACAGGACAAACAAGGTGGAGGCTGCTTCAGCTAACAATATCTCAACTAAAGGTTTAGAACAATTAAGGTTGTTGACCAGCCTTCCTGGCTTCCTGTCAACATCTCTTTTTTAGTGAAACTGATTTGTTTTCCAGCAAAGAGTGAGGCTCAAGTTGCTTCAATCACATAATAGATTCTAATAGACACCTCATTAATAGCTTGATCATCTCTAGTTAAAGCTTGTCCCATTTCTAGGCATATGCAATTCAAAGGGATGATTTCTTTATATTGAACTGAAATTATTGTGTCTTTTCTTTATACCCACTGATCCTGATACTGGCCCCTGGGGCTACCTATAAAAACCAAATCCCTTTTTAGAATCTGAAAGTGGTTATCCCCACCCCTAATAATAATGTTTATCAAGATCCTACTCTATGATAGGCTGTTACTAAACCTCAGTTAATCCTCATGAGAGCCTAGGAACTAAGCGTTAGTATAACCCACTCCTTATACAGGAGGAAATTGAAGTTCAAGAAGCTATGTAATGTATTCAGAGACACCAAACTGGTAAATGGCAGAGCTGGGATTCAAATCCAGGTCTTTGAGACTAGAAAACTGGTACTCTTAATTATTATGTTACTAGAGGCCCAGTGCATGAAATTCATGCATGGGGTGGGGGGGGAGAGTTCCTCAGCCCAGCTTGTACCCTCTCTAATCTGGGAGCCCCTCGAGGGATGTTCGACTGCCCATTTATGGGAATATGGACATCCCTCTCACAATCCAGGACTGCTGGCTCCCACCTGCTTGCCTGCCAGCCTGATTGGCCTAACTGCTTCTGTCTGCCAGCCTGATCACTCCCTAACTACTCTCCTGCCAGCCTGATTAACACCTAACTGCTCCCCTGCCAGCCCAATTGCCCTTAACTGCTCTTCCTTGCAGGCCTGATCCCCCCTCCCCCAACTGCCCTCCCCTGCAGGCCTGATCACCCCCAACTCTCCTCCCTTGCATGTCTGGTCCCTCCCAACTGCCCTCCACTGCTGGCCATCTTATGGTGGCCATCTTGTGTTCATATGGGGGAAGCCATCTTTGAGCACATGGAGGTGGCCGTCTTGTGTGTTGGAGTGATGGTCAATTTGCATATTACTCTTTTATTAAATAGGATGATGCCTCCCTATTAAAGCTCCCTGGCTAAATCCTATCTTCTCAGCTAAATATCTCCAATTTCTTCAAACTATAATTCCATATATTAGTATATTTTATGTCCTATCATGGTGTCCTCAGGGTAGGCTAATGATCCTCTTAAATATGAAGCCTAAAACTGGATATAGTTCCAGGTTTGACCTGACTAGGGGCATTTCATTGTGCTTTTGTTTTAGACACATCACTCCTTAGGCAAGAGAAAATGAGGAGGGTACTATGACTACTTGGTCTTGGTGAACCTATGCTGGTTCCTAACAATCACCACTTTGTTCCTGCCACATGGTCAATAGATCCCACTTTGCCTTTTGGCCAGTGATTAGCCATTAGCCAAGGCCAATTTAGGTGCCACTGATATATAATGTCCCAGCTACCTGTAGAATTGTGTCTCTCTTAACTTTAGCCAACTGTTTAAGGTATAGAAGGAAGGCAATCTTGGTGAGTCAAGGTATCCCAAAAAAAAAATTACAGAAAGAGGACCAGAGGTACCTGTAATGAAGTATCCTAGTACTGGAGAACATGGAATACCAGCCCAGCAGAGCCTCTAAACTATGTATCTGTAGCCATGCTCATACCAGTGACAAATGTCACTAGAAACCATGATTTTAGCCAAGGTGGACAAATTATATGGCCCACAACACTGATGCCTCTCCTAAAGGATGGGGTGGGACACTTTATACAATAAGCCCATTTTTTTGAGCCAGAAGACTGAATATAAAAAAGAACCTGTAGCTGTTCAGGCACAAGCAAGCTCTCTTCTACACAGATGATACTGCTGCTAGTTTCTGGTTCCAATCCAGATCCTACATGATCCAAATGCTGGTGGACTTACCCCTGGAAGGGTCTTCTGCTCGTGCAGTGCCCTCTGAGCCTTGAGAGCAGAGTCCCGGGCGCAGTAGGTGAGGAAGGCACAGCCTGGGGAGGAAGAAGCTGGCTCAGGGGAGTTCCTGAAACCACCAAATACTCTTCCAATAAGACCCCATTATATTGACAAACTCAAGGTCACTTTCCTTTAACCAAAAACACTGCTTCTTCTCTGCCTCATACCTTCTCTGAAGGGAGGGGCTTCATGTGCCTTTGACTCTTTCTCATTTTCTCTTGGCCTTCTGCCTAGGGAACATGTGTACTCACACCCAGTCACATGCTTATACAATCCCACATCTATCCTCACCACTCCAGCCATAATCGTGCTGAGGTTAAACCTCACTAAGCCACTTTGCCTTCAGCTTTAACCCCAGCTTTCCCTTTTCTTTTTGGAATTATACAGAATCTCCCAACTCATTTTCAATGAGAGGAGGCAGAAGAGGAGGAGGAAGGTTGGGGTCCAAGCCCAGAACCCCACTTCCTTCCCCCCTCCCCCCACAACTTCTTAATACTTCCTTCCTCCAAGTTTGAAGCTGAAGAATGGGTTAATTTGAGGCTTGGAAGATGAGGCTGGTTTAAGGGCTTCCTGTAGGTAAGACCTTCCAGTGCTCTCCCATCCTATCCAAGGACCTTGATCTTGTTAGTTCTCCCAAGTCTTCAAGATAGGGCCTTTTAAAGGCTTATGGTGCCTCAAATCTGACTTCTTTAAAATAGCCAGTAGAAATAAGGCCAAGGAAGGGTCTGAACTGAACTAAAGGGTTAGTCCCAACCCTCTTTGTTCAGCCTCAGAACCTTACTCTGCATTGGATCAGGGAACTCTTCCTTTCCAACAGGCATTGAACACTCACTCACTTATTTTGGTGGGGCATTATGATGGGCTTGGGGATAAAGTGGCAACAAGACAGACACATTCTCCACCCTCATGGGAATAACATAAAGGATTATGAGGAGCATGCATCTGAGTCCAAAGAATTGAGAAGTGTCTCAGAATACATCGAGTTCTCAATAATAAATGGAGTTTAACCAGGTGACAAGAAGGGTGGTGATTATTTCAGACAGAGAAAATATGAAAAATTCAGTGTGTTGGGGAAATTGATGGAAGGCTAGTATGGTTGAAGATTGGTAATGGGGGCAGAGTGGCCAGTTAGGTATTCAGGATCAGGTCATCTATAATCTTGTCTGGATTTTGAACTTTTTTCCCTAGGAGCAGTGAAGAGCTACTAAAGGGTTTTAAGCAGTGTTGTGATATAAGATATGTTTCTAAAGAGACTTGAGTGTAAGAAAGAGAAAGACTGAAGTAAAAGAAAGTAGATGTGGGAAAGAACTTGGTGCGATTTTTCATTGCACCAGAAGACTAGAAAGGCAAATGGGAACATTTTCTTCTGTCTTCTATTTGGGTGCCCCCTTAAGGTGGGTGGATATCTGCCATTTATTGCATGAAAGGAACCGTAGAGAACTCTTGGGACAGATACTTATTGTATCAACAGGGAAACTGAAGCCCAGAGAGTGTCAGTGGCAGGATTGGATTTGAAGTCTCTTAATTCCTAGGCTAAGGTTGTTTTCAAAGCACTGTGGCTGACTCCTCCAACCACCAAAAGGAAAATGAGTCACTCTGCCTTTTGGACATCACTGTTGCTGGGGAGGGGGCGGGGGAAGATGCTGACTTGGAGACCCTCCCTGATCATCTTGCAAGGCAACCCTTCCTTGAAGAGTTGCAGGTTGGTTTGGAGCTAAATCACCAAACACCTGATTCTGTTTACATCTCTGCTCCATCTTCTACCAACATGCCATATCAACTGATATTGGAACTGGGCAGGGATGGGGCCCTGTCTGAAAGGTTCAGGGGCTCAGTTATGGCATAAAGGAGCCTGTATGGACTACTGGTATGGGAATGGAAGGATGTGGGATGGAAAGACAGGGAAGCATGTAAAGGCAGATGAATGAAAAACAGGAAGAATTAAACCTAAATAGAGAAAGAGGGAGGGAAGAAAAACGGGAGGGAGGGAGAGAGAGGATAAGGAAATAGTCAGAGACTCTGATGGTAAAAAGAGTAAGAATTAAAGGTATTCTACAATATACACTGCCCTTATTGTAAAGATGGCCTTAAAAGATTAGCTTGTACTTACATACTGAAATAAGTGTCTATAAAATAAGAAAGTAAATTGCTATAGATATAGCAATATAGGAAACTGGACTGAATTAGAAGAAATCTGGGTAGTATAGTCTTGTCCTTTTATGCCTCATTTAATATAACCTCAACCCAAAAGGTAGAAGATACACTACTACTTAGTTGGTCCTAGTTCTTCTATGGGCATTTATTTTACTGAAGCCCCTATATTATTGTGCATAGGAACTCTCCAATGTGCCCAGTGGAAAAGGTGCCCCAGTAGCAGCCTGATTACAGCTCTCAGCCCTTATGAAAATACATTTAGCTGTTACCCAGGGCCCACAACTTCTTTCCTAAAAAGATCATAGAGGATAGTAGGTGAAATTGCCTCACCAAATTTGGTGAAATTTCTCACCAAATCCTGAAAACACAATATGGTGAAGGTAAGGAGAGATAAAGGTATTTCTCCTCATATCATGTCCTTCCCTGACCCATGTATGACGTGTGACTCTGGCTCTCTTACTCCAGCTAGCTTGGACAAACTTGTCTGCATGTAAACAGCCTCCTCCTTCTCTCTATAGGAAGAAAGGGGTGTGGCTACACAAGACTATGTTGTCTCTGTCTTTTAAGCAAGGGCAGGGAAAAGACTCCTTTCTGTCTCTTCATCCTGGCTCACCCTAAGGTGGGAAAGCAGAAAAGTGTAGGAGGATTGTGGAGGGACAAAGATGAGATATAGGATTGGGGAGATTAGAGCATGAAAGTAGTGTGGGTTCAGCTGAGAGAAAACCTGAGATGAGGGAGTACAAGGTGGCAGGAATTCTAAGCTGAAGATAGAGTTTTGGACTCAAATCAGAAGCAGAACACTATGTTGTGATTCTGGCAGGGGTATGAGAGATTTGCTATTAAACATGAGGGTGGAATTTGGAGCTAGGAGGGGGATTGAATTTTGTGAGTTAACTAGGCCTGGGTTCTGAAAAGGGTCGAGTTTGGACCTGTGGCATTTCAGGTTGTCAGTCTAAGAGCCAAAAGAAGGCTCTGCAGGTTGGCTGGGCTTGGAGGCCAAAATGAGTGGTGCAAGTCCAAGATATGTGTATGGATGGGTAGGTTTGAGTAGGGTGGCACACGATAGAGATATTCAGGAATGATTTCGTCCAGCATTTGGGAGATTGAGGTTATTAGAGACCAAGAAGGTGGGATAAGTTTTCAAATTCCAGGATTTGGGAAGTCTGCTGAGAGGGATGGAGGGAAGTCCAACGGAAAGTCGGGGACTGTTGAGATGTAGGAAGTTGGGGGTTTGAGTGCAGAACATGTCAGGGAACCAGAGGGATGATGAAAGGGAGCATGTCAGAGAAAATTCTGGGTTTGGGGTTCTGTGAACTGGGAAGGATACTGGGTTGAAGTGAGGCTGGTATTAGACTGATGTAGGACTGGATCTAGGTAAGGCTAAGGTTGGGGCTGCATTTGAGGCTGGAGTCTGGGCTGGGCCGAACTCTAATCGGATTGGGGCTGGACAGGGCTGGGCTGGGCAGGTTGGGTAGGGATGGGTAGGGCTGGATAGGGCTGGGCTGGGCTGACCCCGCGCACCTTTATGGAGGCCGGTGAGCCGGTCCTTCAGCACCGTCAACTGGTAGATGCGGCCGAACTCCTCAAACAGCGACTTGAGGTCCTGTTCATCCAAGCCCCGAGGGATCTGCCCCACGAAGAGCTTTATGGCATCATGGTCCTTCATGGGCTCGGCAGGATCTGGGTTTAGTCTGCTCAAGCAGATGCCGCTGTCCGGGGTACTGAAACCCAAACGCGGGCCGGGGCGATGGGCGGTGCTAACCCTCCGGGCGCAGCGACCATCTTCCTGCTCAATCCTCCTTTCCTCTGGTCGGGCGCGTCCCGCCGGTCACGCTGTCCCCTCCCAGAAGGGAGGGGGCGGGCCCAGGGAGGCGAGGGAAGGGACGCCGCACAGGGAGCGGGGTCCCTGGTGAAGGGGGCGTAAAGAGGGTGGGGCTGACTAAAAAGGGGCGAGGACGGGGCGGGGCAGGCCCAGACAGCAGGCGGAACAACAGGGAGTTTGGCTTGAGGTCGCTGTCGGAAGCTCTCTGGGTTCCTGCCCGAGCTTTCCCGGAGCCAAGCCCTAAGCTCGTGATTGGTGACGTCAGGCAGAGGTCCTTGGAGTCTACGCAAATAATTTGCATAATAAGGAAGCAGCGGCCAATCAGAGCTGGAGTTGATGAGGCTCTGTTGGAGGGCGAAGCTGAGGCTGGACTCACAAGCTCCTGCTCGCCATGGCAACCAGACCTTCAGATTCCCAGTAAATGTGAGCGGGCGTGGCCATAAATAGTGCGTGTGCGCCTTGGACTTCTTCGTTATGCATGGTGATGTCTGTGGGAGTCGTAGCTACCTGTTTCCTCACACTCTGGCGCACACGGGCCTTTCCAGAGGGGTGGATTGTTTTTACTCTTCTCCATTCCCACCACCAAGTCCAATTCCTCGGAGCCATCCTACTCCACCCCATCACACCTCTCTTACTTTGGTGTCTTCAACCATTTCCTTACCCACATGCGTCAAACACGTTTGTCTTCCCACCCCTGCTTTTTTTTAATTGTAAAGAAAATTTTGAATAAAATGAAAACTGCAAAAACACTCATTGAACACCGATTTCTCCTCTGGAGAGTGAGGGAACTTATATTAGCCATACGCCCAGATACCTGATTCATCCCAATTTTGTGCTATCTACCTTTTCTAGACAAGAAACCTGACGGTCTGAGAGTGAAGGAGATTTAGATCAGGTCCACCCCTAACATTCGCTGAGCCCAGGGCAAGGGAAATAGACAAACTGTGTTTAAATATTTCTGGGGTCACTTGCCCTCCCCGCTTGGAGCCGCCCCCGTCGCCGCCGCCTGGCTCGTTGCGGCTCCGCCACAGGGGCAGGTGCGGAGGGGCTCCCAGTCCGGCCGCTGCTTCGGGCCTGTGGCTCCCCCTAGAGCCGCTGAAGAGCCGCCGCCGCGCCTTGAGAAGGGCGGAGGAGCGGGGCTGAGCGCCCGGGGAGGCTCGAGCGCAGGGTAGAGGGACCAGGGCAGAATCACCAGCACTGGCTGAAGGTTTGCTGGCATGGGTAATCTCATTAAAGTGCTAACCAGGGATATAGACTACAATGCAGCACATTTTTTCTTGGACATTGAAAGTACCTTAACATGGGGAATCTTCTCAAAGTTTTGACATGCACAGACCTTGAGCAGGGGCCAAATTTTTCCCTTGATTTTGAAAATGCCCAGCCTACAGAGTCCAAGAAGGAAATTCATAATCAGGTGAATGTAGTGTTAAAAGATGCAGAAGGCATCTTGGAGGACTTGCAGTCATATAGAGGAGCTGGTCATGAAATATGAGAGGCCATCAGCATCCAGTGGATGAGAAGTTACAAGAGAAGGGGTGTTTGGAGTCGAGTCCCCTGCCGACCTGAGAATCGGGGGATGGAGCAAGGGTAGGTAGCCCTGCCTGCTCTCCCCCAGGAGTCGGGTCACTTGGGGACATGGCAAGCAACAGTGTCCTTCTTTCTGCTGTGAGTGCAAAATTGGAATCTGTAAACATGTCCTTGAATTAACATAGCAGAGCACAGCTAGACGAAATATCCCAAGCAGCTATCTCCCTGTGTAGGTCTTAAGGGACTGGCACGTAGCCATCATGCCGAGAGAAGGCCATTTGGAGGAATGCCCAGCTTTAGGGTATAAAGGAGTTTGCGTCTTTAATAAACTTGCTGCAGTGCCATCGAGCATTCCAGCCCTCCTGAAGCCCCGCTGTTCCTGTCCTTTTCTTTTTTCTTTTCCTGAGCCACCTAGCCCGATCTTCAGGACCTGTAATACCGGCTGGTTCCGGTAAAGGGGTGCTGTTGTCCCACTAGTAGGCAAATTAAAGAAATTTTATGAATTTTCTCAGAGGTTAGAAGCAGCATTAAGAGGTCTTCTGGGAGCCTTGACAAGTACCTCATACTCTCCCACACAGCACCTAGAGCGAGAGCAGGCTCTCGCTAAGCAATTTGCAGAAACCCTTCACTTCACACTCCGGTTTGATAAACTCAAGATGACAAATCCTGCCATACAGAATGATTTCAGCTATTTTAGAAGAACATTGAGTCGTATGCGGATTAATAACGTTCCAGCAGAAGGAGAAAATGAAGTAAACAATGAGCTGGCAGATCGAATGTCTTTGTTTTATGCCGAGGCAACGACAATGCTGAAAACCTTGTGATGCCACAACAAAATTTGTATCAGAGAATAAAAACTTACCCATAGAAAATACCACGGACTGTCTGAGCACCACGGCCAGCGTGTGCAGAGTAATGATGGAAACGCTGGAATACAGAAACAGGTTTAGAAGCAAAGAGATCGTGTCGTTCTGCTTGAGAGTAATGGTGGGCATCATCATACTCTATGACCATGTACATCCAGTGGGAGCATTTGCTAAAACCTCAAAAATTGATATGAAAGGTTGTATTAAAGTTCTTAAGGACCAGCCTCCTAATAGTGTAAAAGGTCTTTTCAATGCTCTCAGGTACACAACAAAATATTTGAACGATGAGACTACCTCCAAGAAAATCAGATCCGTGCTGCAATGACACTCCGGAGCGAGAGCCTGCGGTGACCGCGGACGCAGTTTTTAGTGATTGCAATTACTCTCTCACTGCCGTTTTATTTCTTCCCTCTCCCTCTGCCCTCTTTTTAAATCATGTACTTGTTCTTAAGACTTCCTTTCTGCCAAAATCTGTCAAGCTATACCCTGGAGGGGTTGCCTTTAAGACAGGCCGCCTGAGGCAGCTAATCATGCATCACATTGGGGTCTCCACTGAGAGAAATTCTGTGACTTGAACTAAATATTTTTAAATGTGGATTTTTTTAAAAAACTAATATTTAATATTGCTTCTCCTGCATGGCGAAACTGCCTACTCTGCTATTTAAAACCCTCAATGACTTTATTTTCTACTGCCGCTTTTTCCATGTGCAGCTAAATTAAAATGTTTAAATTAATTGTGTTGTACAGATGGTACCAAACACAAAAACTTTTTTTAAATTAGTAAGACTTTTGTTTAAAGTTTTAAGTTTGCATTTTGGCTTTTTTGTAAGGATGTATGTTGGGTGAGTAACTTTATTAACTAACGTTAAAACTGTGATGCTCATGTTTAAAGAATGGCTGTTGATGATAAAATAAAAGCCAGCTTTCATTTTTCTAAAAAAAAAAGTTGTCGCCCTGCCTGGGTGGCTCAGTTGGCTGAAGAGTACACCAAGATGCCCAAGCTGGTTTGGCTCAGTGGATAGAGCCCTGGCCTGCAGATTGAAAGGTCCTGGATTCCATTCTGGTCAAGAGCACATATCAGGGGGCGTGCAGGAGGCAACCAACTCATATGTTCTCTATCACCCCTCCCACTCTCTCTCTTAAAAAAAAAAAAAAAAAAAAAAAAAAAAAAAAAAGAGTACACCAAAATGTTTCTCTCTGACCTCATATCAATAAACTTATCTTCAGGTGAGGATTTTAAAAAGTTGTAAATCAAATCAAAATGTTTGTCTCCAATTTTTACAAATACGCATTCATAATAAAACTGAAAAAATATATAAAGCTGGTTTTTATATGACCAAGTTGACAAATATTCGAGCTCATGGAATATTATTACTCTTGTTCATGTCTGAGTATTCTCTTGATTTAGTGATGTTTGGACATAGGAATAATACAATAAAGATAAACAATTTATACATTATATACATTTATTTTAGAAAATCTTTTCATGCCTTTTTTTATCAAGTAAAATTTCTAACTTATGCCCACTGATTATTTCAAGAAACTTCTCAAGAGCAGCAGTAGAATTGGAATCAAAAAAATATTATCACAACAAAATTCAAACTCAGAAATAAATTACGATTTCAAAAATATATTTTTAGTGATTTCAGAAAGGGATAGGGAGAGAGAGATGAAAACATCAATGATGAATAAGAATCATTAATCAGTGTCAGATACCCCACACTGGGGATCAAACCTGCAACCCAGATATGTGCCCTGACCAGGAATCAACCATGACCTCCTGGTTCATAGGTCAATGCTCAACCACAGACTCATACCAACTGGGCAAAGTTGTGATTTTTAGAAGTTATTTTAAACTTTTAATAAAAGTTCTTATTTAACTTTCATTGAGTTCATCATGTTTTGAAATTTCCTTTGACCCACAGATTATAAATGTATTTGTAGTTTTCAAACATTGAGAGATTTTCCTGTTTTCTTTCTGTTACTGATTTCCAGTTTGAGTCCATTATGGTCAGAGAACATACTCTGTATGATTTCAATTATTTTAAGTTTGTTGAGGTTTTATGACCTTCAGAATATGTTCTATATTGGTTAATGTTTTGTTGTTACCTAAAAATAATGTATATTCTGTTGTTGAGAGTAGTGTTCTTACCAGTAAATGCTAATTAGATCTGTTGGTTGATGGTGTTGTTGAGGTTTATATTCTTGCTGGTTTTATGTTTAGTTTTGTCAATTGTTGAGGGAGGGATTTTGAAGTCTATAATTGTGAATTTATTTATTTCTCTTTTCAGTTATATTAGTTTTTACATTATACATTTTTCAACTGTTGGTTAGTACATACACATTTAAGATTGCTATGTCTTCTTTTATCATTTATAATAATAAAAGCATCATATGCTAACTAGTCTGGACAGCTGAACAACCTTCCAGATACAATTCTGGACATCCTTCTGGATGAAGTTGCCCCGGTGGGGGCTGAGGCAGAGGCAGTTAGGGGTGATCAGGCAGGCAAGTAGTGATTAGGGGTGATCAGACAGGCAGACAGGTGAATGATTAGGAGCCAACAGTACCAGATTGCAAGAGGGAACCCAAATTGGGAGAGGATGCAGGCCAGGCTGAGGAACCTGTCCCTCCTGTGCATGAATTTTGTGCACTGGGCCTCTAGTTATAATATATCACTCTAAATTTGTGATCAATTTCTTGCCCATAGGGGTAAGCTCTTTGTCCAATCTCTTCCCACACCTCACAGACCCTTCCCCCTGAGAACTGTCAGTCTGCTTCATTTCCATGACCCTGATTCTATTACATTTACCAGTCTCTTCTGTTCATCAGGTGTTTTGTTTTTAAAAAATATATTTTATTGATTTTTTTTATAAAGAGGAAGGGAGAGGGATAGAGGGTTAGAAACACTGATGAGAGAGAAACATTGATTAGCTGCTTCCTGCTGGGGATATGCCTGCAATGAAGGTACATGTCCTTAACCAGAATTGAGCCTGGGATACTTCAGTCAACACTCTATCCACTGAACCAAACCAGTTAGGGCTTCATCAAGTTTTTTATTCATTTGATTTTTAGGTTCACTTGTTGATAGATTTGTATTTGTTGTCACTTTGTTGTTCATAATTTTTATCTTTACTTTTTTGTTCTTCTTTTTTAAAATATATCTTTATTATTCAGATTATTATAATTGTTCTTCTTTCACGCTCCCCTCCACCTGGTTCCCACCCATTCTCTGCCCCTCCACTATCCTCATCCATAGGTGTACAATTTTTGTCCAGTCTCTTCCCACACCTCCTATCCTTTTCCCCCTGAGAATTGTCAGTCCACTCCCTTTCTATGGCCCTGATTCTATTATATTCACCAGTTTATTCTGTTCATCAGATTTTTTATTCACTTGATTTTTAGATTCACTTGTTGATATTTATTTGTTATTCATAATTTTTATCTTAACCTTTTTCTTCTTCTTCCTCTTCTTAAAGAATACCTTTCAGCATTTCATATAATACTGGTTTAGTGGTGATGAACTCCTTTAGCTTTTTTTTTTTTTTTTTTTTTTTTTTTTTTTTTTTTTTTTTTTAACTGTGGAGCTCTTCATCTGACCTTCAATTCTGAATGATAGCTTTGCTGGGTAGGATAATCTTGGTTGTAGGTTCTTGCTGTTCATCACTCTGAATATTTCTTGCCACTCCCTTCTGGCCTGCATAGTTTCTGTTGAGAAATCAGCTGACAGTCATATGGGGTACTCCCTTGTAGGTAACTGTTTTTCTCTTGCTGCTTTCAAGATTCTCTTTGTTTTTTGCCCTTGGCATTTTAATTATGATGTGTCTTGATATGGTCCTCTTTGGATTCCTTTTGTTTGGGGTTCTGTGCACTTCCTGGATTGTAAGTCTATTTCTTTCACCAGGTAGAGAAAGTTTTCTGTCATTATTTCTTTCAATAGACTATCAATATCCTGCTCTCTCCCTTCTGGCACTCCAAAAATCCGGATGTTGGTATGCTTAAAGCTGTCCCAGGTGCTCCTGATACTATCCTCACACTTTTGGATTCTTCTTTGTTTCTGACTCTTTGATTGGGTGTTTTTTGTTTCCTCATATTCCAGATCTTTGGTTTGACTCTTGGGGTACATTGATTTACAGTTGAGTTTCTATATATTCTTTATTTCAGACAATGTATGCTTAATTTCTAACTGGTCTTTTTCCTTTTTTTTTTTTTTTTTTTTTTTTTTTTTTTTTCAATAAGGTCCTTGAAGGTCTCTTCAAGTTTCTCAGTGGTTTTTAGAAGATTCTCAGGTGGTTGCTCTTGGTACACCCCTTTGTGGGCTGAGTGCAAAGTCTTGGTGATAGACGTTTTATCTTTTAGCTGTGGTTTTGAAATTGTTATGCATGGCAGCAGTTTAGGTGTGTTTACCTACACCGCCATCTTGGATCCTCCTTTGTTTTCTCTCCACCTTTTTCATCTTCTTCCTCTTATTAGAGAATACCCTTCAACATTTAATATAATACTGGTTTGTTGGTGATGAACTTTTTTTTAGCTTTTTCTTGTCTATGAAGCTCTTTATCTGACCTTCAAATCTAAATGATAGCTTTGCTGGGTAGAGTAATATTGTTTGTATGTTCTAGTTATTCATCACTTGTATATTCTTGTCACTCCCATCTGGCCTGCATAGTTTCTGTTGAGAAATCAGCTGACAGTTGTATAGGTACTTCCTTGTAGGTAATGAACTGTTTTTCTCTTGCTGCTTTTAATATTCTCCCATTATCTTTTTCTTGTTGTGGTCCTCTTTGGATTTCTCTCATTTGGGGGTTCTCTATGCTTCTTAGAGTCATAAGTATATTTCTTTCACCAGGTAGGGGAAGTTTTCTGGCATTATTTCTTCAAATAGGTTTTCTCTCTCTTCCTCTGGTACCCTCATAATTCGGATGTTAGTTGTCCTAGAGGCTCCTTACACTATCTTCATATTTTTGGATTCTTTTTTCTTTTCTGGTTAGATGTTTTTTGCTTCTTTGTATTTCAAATCTTGATTTGATTCTTGGGATCCTCTAGTCTGCTGTTGGATCTCTGTATATTATTTTTTTATTTCAGTCAGTGTATGCTTAATTACTGATTGGTCCTTTTTCATATCCTTGAGGGTCTCACTAAATATTTTGAGATTTCTAGAAGATTCTTGAGTAACCTTATAACTGTGGTTTTGAATTCTATATCCAATATTTTTGCTTTCATCCATTTCTTTCATTTGTGACTAGTTTCTTTGTCTCTGCATTTTGGCTGCTTCCCTGTATTTGTTTCTATGTACCGGATAGCTGCTAAGTCTCCTTGAGTTGATAGAATAGCCTTGTGTGGTAGGTGTCCTATAGGACCCAGTGGCTCAA